ACTCTTGAACTTGAGAAGAGTTTGTTTGATAAACGTAGCTGCACCATTGTTTGGGGCATATATATTAATGATCATTAAGTCTTGTTGGTGTATGGTTCCCTTGAGCAGTATGTAGTGTTTATCTCTTTTGATTAACTTTGGCTTGAAGTCTATTTTATTTGATACAAGTATGGACACCCCTGCTTGCTTCTGAGGTCCATATGAGTGGTATGATTTTTTCCAACCTTTCACCTTCAGTCTGTGTATGTGTTTTCCTATCAGATGATTCTCCTGTAGGCAGCATATTGTTGGATCTTTCTTTTTAATCCAGTCTACTAGCCTATGTCTTTTGATTGGTGCATTTAAGCCATTAACATTTAGGGTTTCTATTGAGATATGGTTTGTACTTCCAGCCATATTTGGTTATTTATGTTACTTAACATGATTTGTTTTTCCTCTTTGATCGGTTTTTCCTTTACTGTACTACCTCCTGCTGTTGGTTTTCATTGTTATTTCTCATTTCCTCTTCCTGTAATGTTTTGCCAAGGATGTTTTGAAGAGCTGGTTTTCTAGCTGCAAATTCTTTTAACTTTTGTTTATTGTGGAAGATTTTTATTTCATCTTCAGTCCTGAAGCTTAATTTTGCTGGATACACGATTCTTGGTTGGAACCCATTTTCTTTCAGCATTTGAAATATGTTGTTCCAGGATCTTCTGTGTTGAAAAATCAGCCATTATCCTGATTGGTTTACCCCTAAATGTAATCTGCTTCCTCTCTCTTGTGGCTTTTAAGATTCTCTCCTTATTCTGTATGTTGGGCATCTTCATTATTACGTGTCTTGGTGTGGATCTCTTATGATTTTGTACATTTGGCATCCTGTAGGCTTCTTGTATTTGGATTTCTGTTTCATTCTTTAAGTCTGGGAAGTTTTCTAGTATTATTTCATTGAACAGATTGCTCATTCCTTCGGTTTGGACCTCTATACCCTCTTGTATTCCCAATAACTCTTAAGTTTGGTCTCTTTATATTATCCCATATTTCTTGGATGTTCTGCTCATGATTTCTTAACATTCTCACTGAGATGTCTATGTTCTTTTCAAGTTGAAATACTTTGTCTTCGTTGTCTAATGTTCTATCTTCTAAGTGTTCTACTCTGCTGGTAATACTCTCATTTGAGTTTTTAATTTGGTTTATTGTTTCCTGCATTTCCAGGATTTCTGTTTGGTTTTTTTTTATATCCTCTATCTCCCTGTAGAGTTAATCTTTTGCTTCTTGGATTTGTTTATGTAATTCATTGTCAAAGTGATCTTTCATTGTCTGATTTTGCTGTCTAATGTCTTCCTTGAGATTCCAGATCATCTGAAGCACGTATATCCTGAACTCTTTATCTGACATTCCATCTTCTGCAAATATTACCTCTTCTAATGTTGAATTGACCTGCATTGTTTGTGGTCCTTTCTTTCCTTGTCTTTTCATACTGCTCATGTTTCTTTCTAGCATTGTGAAACTGTTGTTAATGGTTTTGCCCTTATATATTTATATTGTTCTTGTATAGCTCCAAAGTCCCTCTTTTGTGGAGAAAGACAATGTTAACAGTTCCCAATATCAACAGTACATCATCTAAGCACAAGTTTTCATTATTAATACATTTATAGTTAGAATCTAAGTCTAAGATATTGGTTTCAATTATTATTTAAAAATATAGTCATTAGTTTCATAAAAGGCATACCATATCTGGTGGCATATAGAAAACTGAATTTCAGATGAAGGATGTTATACTTAAGGGGAAAGGAGTGAGGGTATGAGGTTAATCTAACTTAGCAACTTTGGAGAACTCTAATCAATAGACTGGTAATTTATGGAAGAATGTATAGATTCAACCTCTTTTCTGTATTTAGATAGTTACCCTATGTATAGATAGTAAAAGTTACGGGGTTGAAAGTGGGATAGAGTAAGAATGACAAAAAAAGAAAAAAATAACAAGGAAGAAAAGAGAAAAAAAAGAGAAGGAAAAAGAAGGTAAGGAAGACAAAAGGAAAATAATGGGGGAGGTGGGGCATATGCAATTCCTCTATATTATATTATTTTGGTACTTCAGTTGTTCATGCACAGTTCTTGATTTCACATATGTTGAGGTGGTGAAAGAGAGAGAAGAGAGCAAAAAAAAAAAAAAAAGGCTCTCAGAACCCAGTTTCCCTTTCTTCCAGTAGGTGGCGTTGTCTATTCCTATCTTGAGCCTCTGTGTTCATGGTGGTGGATGTAGCCAGTGAGAAAGGACATGAGCTTCCACCAGTATCCTCCCTACTCTAGTTTCTGAGGTGGAAACCAGGTGCCTGTACAGTTGTTGCTTTGCATTGATAGCTACACCCCCCAAAAGCTTGTGGGAAATATTTTGAATTATCACATCTAAGGATGGGGGAGTTGGAAACAAGGTACCTGGATCATCCGCAGAACCGTGCTGGTAGCCACAGCCCCTTTGATGGGTTTTAAGGGTTGATGGGCTTCCTCCAGACTAGTGCACAGGGCGGGGGCCGGGCTTCTTCCCCAAGTCTGGCGCAGCACTGGGCTTCCTTCTCTGGTCTGGTCTGTTTGTTGTTGTTTTTAAAGTGAACTTACACCCAGTGATTGAAAATTTAATGATGTAAGCCTGTAAGCACTCATAAAGTAAGTGGCTTAATTAACAATGAAACCTTGAACTCAATTTTACAGGTTTTTTGCCTCAAAACTTGAACACATGTAATATTGTGAGAAATTATTTTGTGTTTTGTGTATTTAAATCATTGTACCTCTCTTGATATTCCTTAAAATTATACAGGAAGAAATCATTTTTCATAGTGGCTGTAAATATTGTAAATCACTGTTGTTTTAGTTTGAGGCTTAGTAGACTGGGTGTCTGCTAAGAATGAAGTTTTCCAGCTCAATAGGACCTGAAGGTAATTGTCTCATTCATCAACCCATCAGGACACAAAGGAGTTAATCCAGGTTTGGTGGTGGTGAGGTGACAGTACAAGACTAAGCCAGGGCCTTCAGCAGGAAAACCTTCACTGAAGTAAATCTGGGGAAATGAGCCAGGGGAGGGAGACAGGCATTATTGACCTTGACTCTTGTTTTTCAAGCATAGTTTGATTTTTTTTTCTGGCTCAGAGTACTTCAGGGAAAATATCCTTTGTCTTCAGTTTAACTTATAAATTACCCCTGAAATACTAACACATTAGGAAAATTCTGCTCTCATCCTTGAGTACATTCACATGTCACCAGGCTCCAAAATGAGTTGTCACTGTGCTTTATTAATTTGCCTCATAGCTATTTTCTTTCCAATCCTGAACTTGAGCACTTCAAGACCCATCTTTTTAGCAGCCTTTACCACAGTGTTTTTTTTTAAATTTATGGTTGTGTAATTCAAGATTTGGATGGGAGGAAGATGAAACTGAAATATACCTGTCACCAGTGTGTGTGTGTGTGTGTGTGTGTGTGTGTGTGTGTGTGAGAGAGAGAGAGAGAGAGAAAGAGAGAGAAAATGTATATGTATTCAACATCCTCGTCAGTATGTTACAGACAAAGCAAAAATAACAGTGTATAGTGAAAGGGCATATATTGCCAGCAACATGTTAGTTAAGTATTTAAAATTCAGAGTATCTTCTTTTTCATTACACAGAATAAATTATTAAAGCTGAACATTGGTGAAACACTCACTGCCTGTGCTGTTTGACTTGCTGGTGATCCACTTTCTACAAAATCAACATACCCTCCACTTTTTTGCCATAAATACATTTTCTATGGGTTATTTTTCTGCAACAATCTCCTTACCCAAGGTAAGGAGGATTCCTCTTGAAAATACTCAATTCTCTGGTACACAGTGATTGCACAGTAAACACAGTTCCTGAGACATCTTAAGGAAGGTTAATTTTCCTGGTATGCCCACCACATAGATACTTGTTCCTTTGACATCAAAATTGGAAGAGAATTGTCCCCTTTGACACACCTGAAGTTTACTGTAATTTTTTAAGAAAGTTTAATTATTAGTTTACAAATTGGCTCAGTGATTTAATTATTCTTGATTTGGCTTTAAAATGTAGCTCCATATCCTTTTTTAATAAGATGTGAGATGTTATTACTCAAAATGCTTTAATATCTGAATAAAAACTTCAGCAATAAAAACCTTTTCTTAGTTGTAGTAGTAATATGACTTGCATTTGTTGAGGCTTTAGGCATTCTCATTTACTCCTCAACAAAACCATAAAGATACTCAATCTTGTTCTACAGGATCAAAGCTGAAGCACAGAGAGGTTAAGTAATTTGCCCACAGTCACCCATAGTAAATGGTGGAACTGTGATCAGAAATCAAGTAGTCTGATTCTAGAGCAGAATAAAACACTGTGGACAGGTTTTGGGGAACGAGCAGTTTGTGAGACTGGTTTGTGTCCACTTTTATATATCTAATTATAAATATGCTCTAGAAAAAGCAAATTGGTTTGCATTTGTTGACAAATTTATTTCTGCATCTCTTTGACTAACTCTAAACCTCCAGGTCCTTGACTTTCTCCTAAACCAGTCTTAACATCTTCCTGATTTCCTCATTAATTCAGTTGAGTAGAATCTTTGACTTCTGTTTTTTTCTTTTTAAAGAGACTTAATTTTTTGAAAATTATACTTTGCAAGAGTATTGCCAATATGAGCTCATATAACTCCCATATAATAAGATCCACTTTCAACTTCATGCATTCTTAAGTTAAACTTGGCCAAGTAGCAGAGAATAACACACATACATACATCTATGCTGTGTAAGATATATATATATATATATATATATATATATATATATATATAAATATAATTTCTTAAAGAGAAGTATAATTTGGTACTATGATGTTAAAATATTAAAACTACAAGTTGATATTAATTTTAAGAACTACAGACAATTTTAACAGGCTGGCCTGTTGCTCATTGGACTCTCATTCTATTTGCAAAAGCCCAGTGTTTGATCTGAGTTCCTCTCTTGTGGAGCCATTTCATAATCTATGGGTGTTAATGATTAATAAATGAGAAAAGAAGAATTTTAAATGTTCTCAGGGATCTATCTGTGTGACCAAGATATCTATACATTAGAAGAACAAGACTCTCTAAGGACTGGAAGGTAAACAAAATTTGTGATTTCAAAGGGATTCCCTGGGATTAGTGAAAATAGTAAATAAACCAGGACTAATGAAATGGTGGCATAGCACATTTGAAAGAAATCCTCTCCTATGATTTCCAGCTCTGGAATGTGGTGTCGATTAAATACTGGCTTTGCTGATTGAGAGATTTGCATCCCCATGCAACTTTATTTCTGACAAGGGTGACACCTGGCAGTTTAGGAGAGAAGACAATTTAGTAAAGAATCGTGAATGGGCAGGTCTGTCCAGCATACGCCATTTATTGCATAAGGTGAAGAACTCTGTGGGTTTGATGCTATAACAGTCTCTGCCATCCACGGATGCACAGTCTTGTCATAAAAAGATGTCAAAGCTAGAACATGAGCAAGCAGGGTGAAAATGACACAGGAGAAATGTAAGTGCTCTGGAGGTCAGAGAAGGAGGGCATATCCACAGAGGGACCAGGAGGGTCTTCGGAGCAGTAGTGGAAGTCCAGAGAGGACTGAAAGAACAACTAGGATTTCAACAGACAGATGTGAGTGGGGCCATTCCGTCGAGTCCACCAGCTCAGAAAAGATGTGTGGAAATAGAACAATGGTGTTTAAAGACTTGTGAACAATGAGGCAGAAGCAACATAGTGGGCCCACCTTGTACCAGGCTCCCAAGGGATAGGATAAGAGGCTTGTTCTCAATTCAGTAGAAAATCAGAAGGAAAATATGTGACCACGAAGTCCATTTGAGTTTGAAATGGAGAGGAAATACTATTAATTGAGCACTTACAGTGTGCCGGGAACTTAATAGTTGTTATTGTAACTCTACAGCCTGAAGACTGAGACTCTGGAGAGATTGAGAAATTAAAACCACAGTGTAAATAACTGCAAATTCAAATCACAAAGCTCACCTTTTTTCTCTCACACCTTACTGGCTAGCAGGGAGGAATGGTGGGGAGATCACTGCAGAAGCCACTGTATCAATCCAAGCAATAGGTAATGAGGGCCAGAAAGAGGAAGATGGCTTTGGAAATGGAAAGGAAGACATAAAGATGCATCCAAGAAGGCCAGTCTATGTGGCAAAGGAAATAGATGCATCAGAGGAGTCTAATTAATGCCCAGTTTTGAAGCCTGAACTCAGAAAATGATGGGAGTGTTTAACAGGAAAAATGCAAGTCTGGAGAAGGCCCTGGTTTAGAGGAAGAAGGATAAGCTCAGTTTGATAGTTACTATGAGATGGGTCAGGCTCCATTTCAGATGTAGGAGACATCTTCACAGAAGTGAGAGGTGAAGGCTTTGAATAAATGGCTAAAGTGAAGAAACATGGAAGGACCAGCAGACACCTTTAGACAATTCCCACCTTTAGGTGAAAGATAGAAAAAGAACTAGGGGAGGAGAGGGAGAGGGAACTGAATCACAGTAATCAGCCTGAAAGGAAGGAGATAATTTCAAGGCACTGACCCCAAAGGTTAGGAGTGCAGCAGTTCTAGTGCTAGTGGCCTCAGGATGTACCACAGAGCACACTGGTCATCCTGGGTCATGGGACAGGGGCCTGGCACACACTCCAGCCTAAGAGGCTGGGAAGCCATGGGCAAGGTAAAGATGGGGAAAGATACTGACTGGGGTGAGGCCTAGGTCAAAGGTGACTTTGTTCAAGGGTGATGGGGATGCAGGAGCAGAGCAGACTGGGAGAACAAAAATGCCCCAGAGAAAAATAGACAATGGGGCTAATGCTCAGAGCTGGAGATAGAGGAAAAAAAATAAAAGTGGCCTTGGTTTTCTTCCTTTCACACCTACAGAAAACCTGTTTTTGTATTTATTTGCCTCTTCTTAAAGACCAGCATTTATGTTACCAGGAGTACTTCCAACTTGGAACAGAACCACAAGTCACAGTGAATAACAACTGGCGCTTTTCTGAAGACTTCTATTTTAACAAAGGAGTGGTGCTGTTTGGCCATGAGGGCTGCCTGTATGTATATTGACTGGTGAAAGGCCTAGAATCCCTCTGTTTGTAGCCAGGTTTACAGCTTCATTATTATTTAAAGCCTCCCTTTCAGCAAGTTGTAATATCAAACCCTGTGCTGGCTAATGGAATCTGAAGCTGCAAGCTGAGGTTTAGTGGCTCTCCCCAGCCAATCCCAAGACTTTGTAAGAATTTTTATTTTGGTTGTGCTGAGCTTACTATAACTGGAGCAGCTGAGTTGCTATGGTGATTTGTTCTCAAACAAAGCACTTTGCTTCAATGTATTAAAACCCGTTGATAAATCTACTTTATTTGACTTGATCGTGGCATTAATTCTAGTTAAGAGAACATTCCTCTACCCCAATCCTGCCGCCCCATCCCCACTCCCATTAGGACTTCGTGTATAGGAATCTGAAGTGGGCCAAGAAGGCATTGGCTAAAAAAAAATAATAATAATGCAACTTTGCTTTTTAAACCTGGGTCTTCAGATTTCACAGATTTGAAGGCTGTTGGCTTGCAGCCTGGAGAGCTGCATCCTGGGGGTGGTCTGTAGCTGGGGGAAGATTGTCCTGAAGCAATTTTGTGACTCGCAATTTTGTGACTCACACTATGAGCTCACCCCTCCTTGCAGGTGGAGCGGACAGGATGCAGGATGCAAAAACCTCAGCTGCAGCTTCCAGTTTCTTTTGTACATCTGAAAGTCACCCCCATCTGCCTTGAGGTGTGGGAAAGGCAGACATTAGCTCCTAGGCACATGCCCTCCTGGTCTCACCAGTAGGGGTCCTCATTGAGTCACAAGTCCTAAACTGTTAGGCTGGAGTCACCAGACACTTTAAGGATGACTATGCTTTGACTGGGGTGTCTCTGCCTCTGATTTCTTGCCTAACCATAACATGGGAGAGAAAATAAGGAGATGCCTGAATTCCAGTGTGACTCATTCATTATAAACAAATGGAGGACAGATTCACTGCCTCTTATTGGAACCGAGGATGTGCCCCAGTACAAGTGTGAGTCAAAACGGAAGTCCTGAGCCTCGCTGATCAGAGCATTCTCCCTCCAGCTCCACCTCCCCAGGAAGAGGTGCAGTGGGGGGTGTAGCACTTTGGGTTTCTTAAATCCTATCAGAGACCCCATATTAAACCCTGGGCTTCTAAGTGAGTCAAATCCCCTCAAAACCAAGAAGGCTTCCAAGTTAAAGATAAACATTGGCCATATCTACAAAGAAACTAATTTGGAGTGGACAGAAATGTTTGTAATCTTAGCAGGGATGATTTCTCAGCATATGTCAAAAATCAACAAAGGGCACTTTAAATATGTACAGTTTACTCTATGTAAATTATACTTAAATGATATTTTTAAGAAGAAATAGAGGGGCCTGCAGTTGTATCTCAGTGATTGAGTGCTTGCCTCGCATGTGTGAGACACTGGGTTTAATCCTCAGAACCACATATAAAAATAAATAAATAACAAAGATACTGTGTCCATATACAACGAAGAAGAAGAAGGAGAAGGAGGAGAAGAAGGAGAAGGAGAAGAAGAAGAAGAAGAGGAAGAGGAAGAGGAAGAGGGAAGAAGGAAGAAGGAAGAAGAAGAAAGAAGAAGAAGAAGAAATACAATTCCCAAACTAGTGGAGGTAAAAACACCTATCCACAACCTATCTTCAGTGTGCTGTATCTTGAAGCTCCAGGTAGCTCTTCTTTTTCCATCCATACCCTTGTTCGATTGTGTGTGGGTGCAAACCCGTAAAAGACACAAGCCTACAGGGATCCTGATGTTGTATCATCAAACACTGATCCCAGTTTCCCAGAGCGTGTGTTGGTAATGTGTTACTTATTTTTTTTTACACAACACCCCACTCTTCAAAGGGAATTGTAGCAGCAGGAAGGGGTGAAGACTAGGTTGACAAGCAATTTCGAGTAGTGGGGAGAAATGTTAGGTAGCCAAGGGAAAAAAAAGCATCTTCTGTGAACTCTGCCCCACCCCACCTCAGGCAGCCACAGGGTGGTTGTTTGTGCCTTCGTGTTCTGGTGGAGGCAAGGTTGACTTGGGTCAAGTCGACAGCATGACTGCACTTAAGAGCTGGCTGTCAGCTGTGCCTGCAAACATGCACATGAGAAATGACTTCATGACTTCACGGTTGGAGACCAGTTTATCATGAAGCATATTAATTTAGGGGAAACAAACACAAGACTTAGATGGAAAACAAAACAACAGCAAAAAAATGAAATAGTTTGGCAAGTAGAGTCACTCAAAGAATGAGCAGTCACCAGCAGAGGGAAGGTTCAGATTTTTTTTAATATAAATAACCTCAATTGGGAAAATATGAACATGTGTCTATGCATGAATGTCCTATGACTTCCTGAAAAGTATGTGGGATTTTTCTCCTTTTGGATAAAATGCCCATAAGGGACAGGAAAAGGAACTTGTTCTTTCTCTTTCTAGAGGTATGCTCTTGTGAATATCTGCTTTTGATGGCTAACTTTATGGGAAAGGTCCTTGTTTCTTTAATTTTGATGGTTAAACTTCATCCCAAAGGACTTATTTATGTCTTTCATTTTCTCCTTTTCCCTTTGGTTTCCAATATGACCAGCATTAGACCCTGCTATTGTCTTTTGGCAAGAAAATTCAAGATTTGCATCCTAGCCATCTGGAAAATTTGTCATTTTAACAAGGGGGCCATCTATGTAGGAGAGCTTTGTTATTCTCCTAATTGCTCGGTCAGTGGTATGTGTGTGTATGTGTGTGTGTGTGCATGCGCGCGCACGTGTGCATGCGCGCACGTGTGTGTGTGTGTCTGTGTGTGCATGTGCATGCACATATGCTGCCTCTCCCAATTCTATACACTCTTTGAAGGTATGTCCTTGCCATGTGGATGTCCTCAAGCAAAATGCCTATCAGTGTCCATAATTCCTATAGTCCCAGATTTCAACTTCTTTTTTTTTTGACATACGCCATAAATACATTTATACTATTTAGGGCAATCTTCTTGCCATAGAAAACACTGTCCAGAGGAAGTATATTCTTAACTAGTCTTTCTCTTTAAATCCAAAAATTAGTATTTGGAAAATCATGCATGGTTATTTAACAAGCATTCTGAAGTGTCTACTGTGTGCCAGAACAGCAGAGCCCGTCCCATAGATCAGAGTTAACAGGTTGTTGTTTTCTCCAGGTCCTAAGGAATCCAAAAAACAGAGCAAGCTTCTGTATTTGTAATAATGGAATTGCAGCAACATGTAACTTATTAAAAACAATGACAACTAACTCATTGCCTGGAAGTAGCCTGTGTTTGCAGCACTCCAATATGCATTACAGAGCTCTTTGGTACAATAAGCATGGGTTACAGAAGTTGCAAAAGGATACTTGGTGGCAAACTGCCAAGCAAGACCTTATTTCACATTTAATGCCTTGTAGGAAGAAGAGAACATGAGAGAAGTCTTTGGAGCAGACAGGAGAGTTCAGTTGTGAAAAGCAAGGAATCCATGTCCTCCATTGCTGGGGATCTCCAAGTCACTCGCTGGTTTTTGATGACCTGGGTCCAGGTGCCATCTGGAAATGGAAGAGAATATTTACAAAGAAAATGCATTCTTCAGGTGTGTCTTATGTAATATACTCCTGAGAGCTGTCGTGGAGATAAGTTTCATAATGGGTCTTTTTAGCATGAGCTCTGAACCTTCCATCTGACACTTTGAATTGAATCATTAATCTGTGGTCCAGACTCAAACCTCCCATGTTTCTTATAACTAATAACCTTATTTCCCTCATCTCAGTCTAACTTCTGTTTTAAAAATATGCTTTTATAATTGGGCCCCTCTTACTATGTGGTCCACAAAGCATGCATTGATCCATGCATGACCTTCTTTGTTATTTTCAATGAAGGTAAAACTCCTGAAACTCCCCCTTCCTCCACTGCCAAAAAAATCACTAGGACCTTGACAAGAAATTAAAACATATAACAACCTTATTGATCCACATTCATCTGATTTCCCTCCTTCTCCCAAGCCAAAGTGAACTCTCATCCCGAGTTATGTGATTAATATTTCCTGGCATTCTTTTCCAAAGAATCTTATCAAGTCTTCTTTGTGGGGGCTGGGGATATAGCTCAGTTGGTAGAGTGCTTGCCTCGCATGCACAAGGCCCTGGGTTCAATCCTCAGCACCACAAAAAATATAAATAAGTAAAAAAAATAAAAATAAAAAATCTTCTTTGTGTTATATGTATTTCAAAAAGTATGTATATGCATATATATGTTGTTTTAACTTTATTAAAAAATGTGTAATTGTAGGGCTTACTTATATTGGTAAGATCCACCCTGGTGACGCATGTGGCAGGCATTTGGTTTGGGCTTTCTATAATATTTTATTATATGAATATATCCTAATTTATTCACCAACACTGCCTTTTCTGGTTGGCTGGGTTACTTATAGGTTCTTGATATTATGAACTGTGCTTTTATGAACATTCGTACATCTATCCAATCTTATCCATGTGCAATCTAGGAGTGAAATTAGGTTAAGGGTTACATTCAACTTTAGAGGAGAGTGTCAAACTGGTTTTTTAATGTTTTTTATTGGTGCATTATAGTTTATATAATAGATATATAATCATATATACATGGAATATAATTTCCCCATTTTCCTTCCTCTCCTCCTGCAACTCTTCTCCTTCCTCTACTCTGCTGGTCTTCCTTCTCTTTACTTATTGCTTCTTTTTAAATTGGTGCTGTATAGCTATACACAAAGGTGGATTTCACTGTGGTATATTCGTATGCATTCATAGCATAATCTGGTCAATTTCATTTCACCATTCTTCTCTTTTTTCTGTACCTCCTCCTCTACTCCACTGATCTCTCTATTTTTCTGAGATCCACTCTCCTTTTTATTTTATTTTATTTTTTTCATATTGTGCTCTAGCTTCCACATATAAGAAAAAAATTGTCCCTTGAATTTCTGAGCCTGGCTTATTTAACTTAGCATGATGTTCTCCAATTCCATCCATTTATTCAATTACCAGTAAATACCATCATTTCACTCTCCTTCATAGCTAAGTAAAACTCCCTTGCATAGATATGCCACATTTTTTTTCATTCATTAATATGTTGACAGGCACCTGGGCTGGTTCCATAACTACGTTATTTTGAATTGTATTGCTATAAATGTTGATGTGGCTGCATCTGTATAGTGTGCTGATTTTATATCTTTTGGATAAATATCAAGGAGTAAGTTAACTGGGTCACTTGGTGGTTCCTTTGAGGAATATTCATAGTGCTTTCCAAAGTGCTTGTACTAATTTGCAGTCCCTCGGGCAATGTTTGAGTATACCTTTCTCCCTCATCCTCATTTTCTCCCTAATATGCCTGGCAGGTTGATAAGATGCTTTGGGTCAAGTTCCCAGAATAGGCCCTGGGTCACATACCATTAAAGCTAAAAGAAGCTTTCGAGATAGGAATGAGGAACCTAACTAATGCTTATTCATTCAATAGCTATTAATCAGGGCTAACTTGGTGCTAACTATTGCCCTAAGCCCTGGAAACTTACTAGAGAATGAGTCAAACAAGACCTCCACTTTTCTGAAGTTACTTTCTCATCTTGGGAGGGAATCGGGATTATAGTTTGATTAAAGTACTTTGAAAAACACATTGATTAGATAGGGAGAGAGAGAAACAGAAAGCTACTGTTCTCGGGCCTCCCTTATTCTCCTTTGCCTTCCTAGGAGTGACTCTGAATAGTAGGGCATCTATTAGCACTCAAAGTCCCATCTTAAAACACCTCCCACCGCTGCCTGTTCCATAGCCAATCAAACCCAATAGTACAGCCCAGCACCCAAGCTAGGCAAACATGATTCAGAGAGCCATGGAACTATGAGGACACAAGACTGGATACATTCTGAAATCCACCTTTGTCAAGTATGCCCTCACTGAGCACCCACTCTGTGCCAGGGTCCTGTGGCATGTACCAGGGCTTCCAACATGAAAAAGTCAGTGCATATGTTCTTCAGGAACTCACGATACCCTGGGTAAGGCAGAAACACATGGTGATGCTTTCAAAGCAATGCATGTGATACAATGGAGAGATGAATGGAGTTCACTGGGAACCCAGAAGAGAAACACCTTGTCTGGTCTTGGAAGTCAGGAAGACTTCCTGCAAGAAGGGATGCCTGCTGGAATAGTTTGTTCTCTGTAAGGCCACAGGAGCAGAGAGCTAGTTGGGTGCTAGTGAGCTAATTCTGAGGTTAAGCACACAATTTAAGCTCTGGCTTAAACAGATTCACTTAATATCTTACATTACCCACCAGCGAAAACATTCATTTTCCCATCTGTAAAACAGGGATGATAGAGAACATACGTTCATTAGAAGAATTAAATTAAAATGTGTCAAATACTTAGCTCTTAGTCAATTCTTTCCATGACCAACTTACAGCAAATCAATTCAGTTAGCCAAGTTACCAATACACTGAATTTTTCCAAAGTTACCAAGTAGCTTAATTAGAATATTTAGCTGTGAGTTTCTGATTGTAAGGTATATTTTACTATTAACCAAATTTAGCTTGATAATGCCACCCAGCAAATGAATCCATGTAATGCTACCTTTTAAAAGTGACATAGGCAAAGCCATGGGTTCAACCTTTAGCACTGCAAAGGTTGGGGGGAGATATGTCAAAGCAGCAATAAGTCTAAGCTGATTTTTTTCTATGTGAAGAACTATTTTCCAACCAAATATTAAGTAGTTTATGTCAAACAAATTTGCTTCAGTTTCTTCTCATTTCCTTTTGATACTCATGGATGTCTTTTTCTATTCTTTGAACTGTAAATTTTAAAATGATCTTTCATTAGTTTTTTCATGGTATATCAGGCTAAAATTTAAATTTATTAAGTTTAAAATTTAATTTAGTTGTAATTCAGTTTTAAACAAATCAAATTTTAATGCAAAACATCCCAAAGAAATCTGAAATCTCAATTAAGCTTAAAAGAATATTAGAAAAATCAGGATTAGCTAAAACAATCCTTTCCTGAGAAATGCTGAAAATTTTGGCTCTAACAAGGATCATTTGGAATATGTGAATAAGTAGCAGTTTGCATAAACATTTGTCATAAAAATGTGTTGAACAGTTCAAAAACGAGAAAGTTAATTTCCTCAGAACAAACTAGTGTAATGAATCACGTTATCAGTACTTCCTTTCTGAGATGCACTAACCATAAATAGAAACTTTAAAGGAAATAATCAACAAAACCAGCTTCATAAAAGGCCAAGAATGTTAAGTGATCATCAAAAAGTTGAACAAGGATTGTAATCAAAGCATTGACCATATTCTTAGAAATAAATAAGGAAAGAAAGAAAGAGAAAGAGAGAAAAGAGAAACCTCAATGTAACCATTTTGCAATCCAGATAATGGGTACATGGGAATTTATGGCATAATTTTTTCCCCCATGGCTGGGGACTTAACCCAGGACCTCACTCTCTAGATAAGCTCTTTGCTTACTATGCTCTACCACTGAACCTCACTCCACATCCCTGTATATATACAGCCCTTACATAATATTTATATAAGTTTGAAATTCTAAATATGCAGGTCGGGGGGGGGAAGTTGATGTAAAATCAAATTTTTTTATAAGAAATGCTGAAAGCATATTCCTATCAATAATAACCAAAACTAAACTGTGCCTAAAGCTATGAAATTTTCTGGTAAAAGCTACTGAAACTTTTTTTTTGTTTTAATGAATATCCAAACTGACTAATGTTGGCCAGTGTTTCAGTCCATAAATTAATTCCTGGGATATTAAGCTTCGAAGAAGAGAATGCAGTCCTGGCAGGAAAAAAAAACAAAAAACAGAAAGTAGATATGACACAATGGAAACGACAGAATTTAGCTGGAATTCTGCAACCAGGAGAGGGAGAGAAATTATGGAGATAAGCAGGGCCCAGTCCTAGGGCAGTTATAGTCATAGTATTGTTTTATAATACTTAGAAGTTGTACTGTGAGGGTTTTTGTTTTCTGATTGTAAGCATAACATAACATAATCAAATTTGGACTAAGGAGAAGAACCTAAAAAAGAAAATGAAAACCACAAGCCTGTCACTCACATTTTTATGGGACATGCTAATAAGCATTTTTCTTAATACTTTACTTTTTCTCCTGAAAGGCTGAAAGTCTTGATATGATGACCAGTAGGTGACTGCCTGACTCCAGTCAGAAACCTTTCCAGATAGTACCTTTTTCCACCCTGGAACACCTACCAGTATTAACCATTATTCTTTTTTAAAAAATTATTTATTCATTCTAATTCATTATATATGACAGCATAATGCATTTCAATTTATAGTACACATATAGAGCACAGTTTTTCATGTCTCTGGTTGTATACAAAGTAGAGTCACACCATTCTGGTCTTCATACATGTACATGTCATTGCACCATGTTTTCTACCCCCATGCCCCCCCCCCTTACTTTCCCTTTCCTTTACCCTATCAAAAGTTTCTCCATTTTTACCATGCTGCTCCCCATACCCCTGTTATGGATCAGCATCCACCTATCAGAGACAACATTTGGCCTTTGGTTTGGGGATTGGCTTACTTCACTTAGCATGATATTCTTA